AAAAAAATATAAAGTGCCTTGAGGTGACTGGAGCTGTGATTTGGTGCTATCTATATAGTTTAATTGAATCAAATTATACTATACAGTGCCTTATTCAAAGTTGAAAAACATTTAGACTGCTCTATCCATCCATTTTTCTTATACTCATTCAATTCAGGGTGGTTGCAGAGGGCCTGGAGCCTGTCCCAGATGGTTTGGAGGAAGAAAATCAGAGTACACCCTGGACAGGGAGTGACATTCATGTTTTGCATTCATATTAAAGCCAATTTGAAATGACCAACTCATCTAACGATGCAAGTAGGCACAAGGCGAACGTGCCGACTCTACCCAGAAATGCTCCAACACATTCAAACCCCACACCTGTGGTTCACTTTGGTTGTAACAGAGAACAGAATAAATCTTTTAACTGTCTGCAGTAAAGTTTGGTGCCACTTTGTGTTTACTGATTCTAAGAGTCATCGTGTCAGATCACCAGTGAGCCCAAAATTCAATTTTCTATGAACAAGACAAAGTGCTGAGTCGGTGCTTTGAACTCTCCTCATTTGCTTTTACTTCCGACGAACTGCCGATGTCATTTTTCAGCTCACTGAGCCGCCTTCTCTCAAATTAATTTCTACAAATTTCCAGAAACAACGGAAATTCTAGCTAGAATAAATGAGATTACTGAAAGAGTAATGTGGGTGTTGACAAGCAGCTGCTGACAAACTCAGAGTGTGAAGTATCACGACGGTTTTAGTTTGCTGTCAGCTGTTTCACTCAGTTTTAGTGAGTTTCAGTCATCAAAACTAGAACACCAGTTTATATAATTGATCAGATAAATAATGTGGCCTGCATTAAAAACACTGCAAAACACATTTTCAGCCCACACATCATGGAGAGGTTGATTAAGGTGAAGCCCAGCAGGCGGCCTGTGTTAATGGGAACAGTTCAGAATCAGCTGACGGTGATCTGAAACGCTGATATATCCGAATAAAAAACACAGCAGAGTTTGCAAGCTACAAGTTTTGCATTCAGCCAATGAAAGATAATATATTTGTGTGCAACTTTCCCAACCTATCTGGAAAATATAACAAGCACAGAAAAAAGCTAAAGCTTACAGTTATGGTCTTACATTTATTTATCCCCCATTTCTGACCTTTAAAACTGCTGTTAACTGTTACTTGCGCTGCTTCTTTTGAGCTCAGTACATCCGTTCACCCTAAGAGAGGCACATCTGTTCTGA